CCTCAGCTTTGTATATACCAATAAGATTAGTGATATTAAAGATGAAATGCAGAAGTAGTTCTGTTGTTCTAAAATGAAACCCCAAGGCAGGATTCAAACTGCAAGCTCACACAACAGGTGATAAATATGTGCCTACTGAGCGATAGTGTTTGGACGAAATCTATCAATACACGACCAAGATCTGGTCCTGGAATGGCAGAAATGCTCGATTAAAATGAATTTTAAACATAAACATAGTTGAACTCTGGTGACCTTGCCCTTTGTTATACAATATTATTCCCTTTATCATAGTTTGTTTCAATAAAAATATTTTGGGGTTGAACCAACAGTGGGGAATCAGTCTACCGAAGGTCCTCGATAGATGTAAATATATTACAAAAACATTGGTGCCTAATTTGCCTAATTATTTTAAGGGGCATAATTTCCAGCTTTATTCAAAGTAATTCAGATATTTTAGTATAAAAACAAATGCCTCATCGCAGAAAAAAAGTGCTGCATTTAGACATGAATAGATTCATAAAACATGCAAGATAACAGAAAATCTTAGCTGGCTTTTGTCCAAGTATTTTGTACAGGTGTCTGTCAAAATTAATGATTCATCGAGACAAATATAAACTGCCTTATTATATTCATTGTGTGACTACTGTATTATATGAAAAGTAAAAAAAAAAAAAACTTTGCAAGCTTTACTTTGTGTGCAAATCAACTTAAATAGTTAGGTGGTGTCCAGTCAGAGAAGTCAACAGTAATGGTGCCTCCTGAGAATCTACATCTTCAAACACTGCAATCTTTGTTTTTGAAGTGCGTTTTTAAATTAGTATTATATAAGCTCTATCATTCTGTTCTAATAGCTGAAACAAATTCCTGTGAATTTTCATTTGTCGAATGTCAATTTTCTTTTCAAAATGTGGATGTTTTGCTTTTTATGTATTTTTATGTACTGTTTTTGATTTGATAACTTTGAACCTAACAGATTTTCTATTAGCTTCAGATTTTGATCAAAGTTTGGCACCCAGTTCATAGGAGTGCTTATATTGATTTTCTGACATCTTGTTTTCTGTAAAGATTTCATTGGTAGGTTTGCAAATGTGTATCAGACTGTGCAAAAAACTCTCCACAAGTTTGAAACCAAGTATAGTATTCCCGTGTGATTTGAGAGATACATTGACAAGGATATTATTACAAGATAAATGATTTGCTTCATTGAACACATACAACAATGCATATTTCCACTGAGATCAGTGTCCTTTGATGTGTATCACCAGTGATCAGTCAAGTAGAAACAGTCAAAATATTTTATCAGATTTTTGTATTATATTTTCATACAGGATATCTGTTGTTCAAACTCAGGGAAGACTTTATATTGATGAATACGGTGACCAAATTTAATGAAGTTTGGAACAGAATTATTAATGACGACAACAACGACAATGACAACACCGGACAAAAATGTTTCCCTTAATATACCTTTCCCTTCCATCTTTGATGGTACGGGCAAGGTAAAAATGACTGCCATTAGACAATTTTAAATCTGATTATGAAATTAATGGATGTGTATATAAAACTCCCAGACATGCAAAGAGTTTATTCCATTCGTGTTGTACCTTTCCACAACAGGTCCTGTGTCTCGTATCCAACTCCTAGAACCATTCTTATGTGCTTCTATGGATCCAGTAGTAAAACTATTAATAAAATGATCTACCATGTTCTTTTCATTTTCATTAGCTACATATTCCTGAAAGTATCAAACAGGTATTTTATCAATGTTTCAACCAATCTTAATGATGACACAAAATTCTATACTCCAATTGTAATATGATGGATATATTTACCTTGACCAGTTTAAGATTGTCACACATGCGAGTCATGATTGGCGCATAGTCTCCCCTTGTTACTTTGAATGTATGGCCATCGAAGCTGTATGTGCCACATATACAGGACTTCTCCACTTCTTCCACTGTACTGTCTGTAATACAATGATTTGAAATACAGAGTGGGAATTTCCAGTGTTGCTGGAATTAGATTAGACATTGAATCTAGTTGATCTAGTTCAAATCATGGATGATTACATCCTGTGCCTACATAGATTCACATGGGGTTTTGCGACTCTAATAATTGGAAACAATATATAAAGAATTGCAAAATGACACCCCCCTTGATAATTTTTCTATTGTTCACTGCATTTGAAGTGATATGGATAACTGGTCACAAACATTTTGAAATAAATATTGTTGGATATTGCACACTAATACACATACTGACTACAATGTATTGTAAAAGGTGTTTTGTGAAGCATCAAAAAACATGCATATTTGCATTAAAGCATTATTTTCACGAACGAGTACTGTTTGTGATAAATCATAAGTCAGTGTGCTTATGTCAACAAATACTGTCTTGAAAATATCAGTTTCATAAACAAATATAAATAACTAAGAGTTTGTGCAAACATTTGATAAATCACTACTACTAACCTGCAGTGAGGGCTGATGCCAGTCTTATCTCATAAATAACTGCACCATTGGCATCTACCGTTTTGAACAGACGGGTGTTATACGGACTAATATCCTATGCAACAGAAAAGTAATGTCAATTTGTACTGCTTAGAAATGATCAAGATTTCTCACAGGACTTTACATTTGCATTCAAGTATGACAATTTATCTCTCTATTTGAATATATGGAATATGTGTACAATACATGGTAAAGTAAGAATCTAAACATAGCTTGAATGGCATCTTTGTTTACACTTGCCTTATCACTCATGAACTTCTGAGCAATTTCAGCATCCACAATGGTACAGTTACTAGAAAAGTAGGTAGAGATACCCTATCAATTAAGAGACACAAAATCAAGTTAGTTCTGTACATACAGATACAATTATACATAATGTTCCTAGTATAGTGATTATTTTCATGACACAGACACAAGATAGATCACATATTATTTGATTATAATACTGAATACCTTTTCTCCAAGTCCTAGTTGTTTTTCTCTGTCACTCAATGAGTACATAGCATTATTACAAGCATTCCAGAGTTTGTCCATACTTTCTTTGTCTGTAGCATATGCAGCACTGCTCTTGATTATCGTATGAAACTTTTCCTGACATATGAAAAAAAATGAAAGATAAACCAATGATTACAGAAAAATGATGAGTATATTATGTGAAATAATCTCATTATTCAAAAAGTTTCGCATAGTACAGTAGTACTGAATTTACAAAAAGAATTTTTCAAAGCAATTCCCCAAATATTGAATGTTGATATTCAATAGAATTCTATGGCCTAAATGTCTGGTATTCTAGTAGGTATGTTTCTGACATGAATTGTTACCTGTGAATCTGGGCTACAATCAGTTTGACACTATAATGGCTATTTTTCTGAGATATCGGTAATTGACTGAGATAAAGTATTTAATATGAAGTATTTTACAATACCTTTGGCAGATTGGGTATAAACTTTGTATCACCAAAGGACTTATAATTTCCGCTGTTAGAATAAAATGATGCCGCATATGTCAGCAGTGCCTGCAACAGAAGATAACATCTAACAATCATTATAAGTAATACTGACAGGCTGTGAATCCAATGTTTTAATCTTGCTGAGTATAGTAGTATAGTATGTATCAGTAGAATCTGAATAAAGTCAGAAGTAGGTAGAGGCTCTGGTCGTTTTCAACATATGGCCATAAACAAATGTATGTGTCACATGTATCCATTCATGGCAACCAGCATACCAGTGTTTGATAACAAATGTCGCTTATGTAGGACCATGCTGCTACCTAGTAGCAAAGCGCCGATGATTCGATGGTCGTTTATCATCTGTCACTTGCTGACGCACTACACGGAATAAAAACATTCTACATTAATTGAAATCAAACCTTTTCGTAAATAATTTTCCAAATTATCCAATTGTCACAATGTCTAAACCTAATGCATTTACAGAACATAATAGTATCGTATCGTATCGTGTAGGAGATCACTTTCCCGGCCAAGTGGTTTTATATAAAAGTTCAAAGCTGCCCGGGTCGACGTCCCCTGAGATAAAACAAAGAGCTGCATATGGAATGGCTTCCCAAACTAGTTTCTCTTCGGGCTTTGGGTTACTGTTTTGTTTTACTATTTGAACTAATTTCGTAATAGTTATATTTAGACATTAAATTTAAATTCTGACACGTATATGTGTACCAACAAGCCTAGTAGTAGGAGAAAATGAACAATACCGCAACAACCTTTTTTATTTTTTTGTACATAACGAGTACAAATATATCTAAAATCACGGTGTTCATAATTACCGTATTTATCTGGCTAAGAGCCCATGCCCGGACAAACGCCCACCCCCCACTTTTGATAAAATAAAGGAGTTGAGGTCATATCCTAGCAAACGCCCAGGGGTGTTTTTTCTACACCTGTAAATAAAAAAACAAACAAAAACAAGCAGCCTATCGGCTGAGATAGCTCCGCTGTTAGCAATGCACATTTCAATTAAAGAACTGAAGACATCATTAGAAAATGAACAATATGTATAGTATCAAAGCAATCGGACTTACAGTTTTTAACAAGCAGTCGAAAATATCACTTTTTACCAAAAATGACAAAAATATTCACCAAAATTAGAGAATTGAAGATATCATCATAAAATGAACAAATCTGAGAGAGGTCCACATGTAGTACCTATATATGTAATATCAAAGCAATCAGACTATTGTTTTTTTACAAGAAGTCGAAAATATCACTTTTTACCAAAAATGACAAAAATATTCACCAAAATTATAGAATCGAAGATATCATCACGAAATGAACAAATCTGAGAAAGGTCTACATGTAGTATTTAAATATGTAATATCAAAGCAATTGAACTTTTGGTTTTTAACAAGAAGTCGAAAATATCACTTTTTACCAAAAATTACCAAAATATTCACCAAAATTAGAGAATTGAAGATACCATCACAAAATGAACAAATCTGAGAGAGGTCCACATGTAGTACCTATATATGTAATATCAAAGCAATCAGACTATTGTTTTTTTACAAGAAGTCGAAAATATCACTTTTTACCAAAAATGACAAAAATATTCACCAAAATTATAGAATCGAAGATATCATCACGAAATGAACAAATCTGAGAAAGGTCTACATGTAGTATCTAAATATGTAATATCAAA